TAAAATTAAACCACTTTTTTTAACCCCCCCCCCCCCCCTTAGAAAGTTTTCTGCGGGCGCCCATGAATGTATATGTAAACAAAATTTAAGGAGTAAATATATACTAAAACAATAATTTATCTTTTAGAGTAGGTAATAAAAAAAAAAATCATTTTAGAATGACGTTCAATATTGACAGCAACAAAATACAACGCTTGACTAATGATTTTTATTCACTATTTAATTATTTTTTTAAAATCTAACTTTTTACTATAAAATTTTCTGGAAGCCGTTAATAAACATAAATACCTCGACTGCAATCATAATATAGAAACTTACAGGTTTTACCACGTGCGACCAAATTTTATGTATCAAAAAGAAATGAAAAGAGTAAGAATAACAATAAATTAGCTGTTTATACATGTGTGTACAGCAACTAGAAAGACATAAATATATAGCAAGGGATAAAACAATACAAAGAAATAAAGATACTGAAAATTAAAAATGGACAAAGAGAGAGAGGGAGAGAAAGAGAGAGAACAGGAGTGAGAGAGAGGGAGAGAAAGAGAGAGAACAGGAGTGAGAGAGAGGGAGAGAGAGAGAGAGAGAGAGAGAGAGAGCGTGGGGGATGGAGAGACTGAGGTTAGAAGAGTGAGAGAACAATATTTAAAATGCGAAGACATACAAAATTGTTACCAACTTATAAAGAAATTAATGTATGGAGAAAAAAGAAAGATAGTGAAAGAAAAAATGTAGAAAGAAAGAAAATTTTCTGCCTGTCTCTTTCTCTCTTTTCAACTCTCTACCTCTTATCACTAAATAACTAAAAATTTAATCACAGTACACAAACTACGTTAAAACTTAATTTTTCTTGTTTATGAGCTCCAAGAAAAGTCTGACATCACAGTTAAACAGCCAACTAACAAACACATTCTGGTTGAAGCTGGAGCTTACGATCCAAAAGCCCCAGCCGGGACCAGCTCTACGTGTTGGGCTGTGCCATATAACATTGTCGTATCGTAAGACTCTCCCACCGCCTTGTCCCAAACCTCAGCAACTCTAGGGCTGGGCATTCAGTCAACAGATGAGCTAGAGTTTCTGGTACCAGGCTGCAATGCCGGCAGGTCGGGTGCCTGTTGCTGTGTAGCCTGTGAAGTTATGCGTTAGTAGGGCAGTGGTCAGTACTCATTTTGTCGGCGGCCCATGTTCCACCAGGTATCCTGTTTGCTTGGTTGTGACATGTTAGCGCAGAAAACTCTGGCTTTCGTGCTGTCTGCCCACTGCCTTTACCATTTTGTTCGAATGTGGTCTGCCAGCCAGTGTGTTTTTGTAACACCGAAGTAAGTGACTGGTGCTTCTGGTTGAGGCTGGGCACCCCTAGTTGTTTGCCAATGGTGTCTGCTCTTTCTTTGTCTCTGACGTACGTGGCTCGTTGTCCATTGCACTGTTACCTTGCCTCCGATCCTTCCGATATTGCCCACGTCATCAAAGATGGCGCCAACTAAGTGGGTGGTATGTGCTTCCTTATTCAAGATCTCAACAGTAAAAAGACGCCATGATTTCATCTATTTATTAGGAATTCGTTTCTTTTATGGTCTCTAAAATTAAAAAAAACAACAACAAAACAACCAACTATGCATAACTTTGACATGGCTCAACATAATGACAGTCTCAATAAAGCAATTAAAATGATTAGAAAAAAAATGTGTTCTTAAAAAAA